GGGGGAGGGGGGGGGGGAGGGAGAGGGAGAGGGAGAGAGGGAGGGGGCAAAGGGCGAGTTCTGACTGTTCTGTCTGTTCTGTCTGTTTGTGTGGGCACCTGGTTGCACCACCCGTTGCGGGCGTCGAACATCTGCTCGTCTTTGAGACAGCACCCCACGCCCTCCTTCAGGAAATCCTCGCAGAAGCCACGCAGCTGCACATACACACACACACACACCGAGACAGACACTCGTGTGATGGTCTGTCTCTCTGTCTTTCTGTGGGCGCACAGTGTGGTGTGTGTGTGTGTGTGTGTGCTGACGTCCTGGTTAGGCTCTGCGGCGGGTGCTCGGCGGGTTTCGTTGGTGCTGTTATTGGAGGCCTCGAGGTCCTCGATGAGCTGCTGGCAGTAAGACCTGCACTTACATGGTCATGAGACACACATGACATGGTCCTCTCTCTTGTGTGTCTGGTGTGTTGTGTTGTGTTGGTTGGCTGGCTGGCTTGCCTTCGCGTCTGGCAGGGGAGGGGGTCGCGGTAGTACCGCTCGTCCAACAGATACACACCCACACCTGATCACCCACCCAACCCACCAACACATCAACACACATCACACATAGTGAAACGGGCAGTGCACACACGCGCCCACACACACATTCTCATTCTCATTATTCTCACGTTTGTCGGCTGTGTCCTTGTTGAGCACATAGAGGTGCTCCACCCCCCTCGCCGCATTCCTCCTGGGCGAGCTGGCGGGCTCCCCGACAGCGTCGAGGAAGAGGTTCTTGGCCTGCAGCTTGTTGGGCAGCCGCCTGTTGCCGTTGTTCCACATGAAGTCGTGGTCGTCGTACGTCCCCAGGATCGGCCGGTGGCAGTCGGGACCTGCACACAAACACAAACATCGACACACACATGGAGGGAGGGAGGGCGGGGTCAGTCTGTGTGTGGTGTGGGGGGGTGGGTGCCTGGGATGGGCGTGTCGTAGGATTGGTTCCATTTGGGGCACATGAAGCGGAGGAATTGCTGGTAGTCTGGCTGCTGCAGCTGCGCGATGACGCGCTCGTGTGCCTTGGCCAGGTCGCCGGCGTGGCACTGCTGACTCGGGAAGGCTATCCACCCGGCCTCACACACACACTCTGACCAAGTCGGCCCGTGGATAATAGATACACGCCACCGTGAGACAGACACATGTTCGTTCGTTTGTGTGCAGCAACACACACACACACACACACACACACCTGGTGAGTCGCTGGCCATTGCCGGGTCGTGACAGTCGACAAAAGCCTGATCCATGTACCTGAGCCGTCGGTCCACCAATCCACCCACCAATCCACACAGACAGAACCTTTCACGCCTGCCTCATCTGCTGTTCTTTCTTTAGCACTTCACTTACACGAAGTCGCCTGTCCAAATCCACGTGTCCGGGTCGATGGCCATGACAGACCGCCAGACGGGCTGCGGGCCAACCCGGTACTGCAGACACGACCCAAAGGCGATCTTGCTGATCAGACGGGATGTGTCCACCCCGTTCAGGTGCAGCCAGCTGTCCTCGAAACGGGCGAACTTCACCAACACGTAAAATACTGCAGACAGAAACACACAAACACACAGCCACACAGCCCATGCAGCCACAGAGGGACATATGCTGTGCCAGTCAAGTGAGCTGATTCCTTCGGTGGTCACTCACTCACTGGTCATGAAGGAAGTGACGATAGAGAATGCCGTCATGAAGATGAGCAGATGCACCCTCCGGCAGCTGGCGAACTGCTCGATGGGCGGCGGCGTGAAGATGACCGTACTGCTTTTGTGCGGCCCTGGCTCGGTGTGGGCGTGGGTGTGGTTGTGGGGATGGGTGTGCACACTGTAGCCGAGCCGCCCCTCTGGCGGCCCGTTGAGTGCCGATGCAGCTGACGTGCCCGCCCTCGCCTCCTCATCGTGTTCATCCATCTCTTCCTCGTGCAGTCTGCGGTGCCGCGGAGATGACATCACAACAGATTCTGAGGTAGATCTGCCTTTTTCCCCTTTGGCTCCCCTCCGTCTGCGAACTCACAATTGGCGAGCTGCGCGCTTCCACTTCTCCACCTCTCACGTATTCGTTCAACCTCGGGCAGGGCATCTCTGCTTGTATTTCACCCTCTCCCGCCCTCATCTGAAGTCCGCTTCCTTCCTAGCTAGATCTTCCTGATCTTCACGAGCCCTGACTGACTCGCCGCCGGACACACCATTCAGTCAGCAAGACCTATACTTTCTCGCGCGCAGAGAGACACACGGCACAGCAGCACTCTCTCGGCCTCGTGCAATGGGCGTGTGGCGGCTGACGGCCCTCCTGTCCTTATCCCTGCTGCTGGGAGCCTTGTTGGAGCAGTGCAGCCATGCGGCTGCCTTTCAGCCTCAGCCTGTGACGACGGGGCGGCAGCCTGTGCACATGGGGCGCTATCCTGCAGCGGGGCTGCGGGCGGCAGTGCGCAGGGTCAGTTACGCCACCCATAAATAAGGCAGAACACCAGACACACAACAGCACGGGGGCGGGTGTGTGGTGTGTGTGGTGTGTGTGGTGGGTTGGTGTGTCATGTCAGGTGGGTAAGGCTGTGCCTTTGCTGCGTCGTCATGCGTCGATACGCAGGGCCGCTATGTCGCCGCGGAAGCTGCGGCGGTACACATCAAAGGACTGGCACACACGACGTTACTCGTCTGAGGACTGGCTCGAGGTAGGTGACCTACCTACCGCACACACACTCGACGAGTGTGGGTGGTGTCCATGGATCTGTCTGTCGGTCTGTCGGTCTGTCTGTTTGTCTGTGATCTGTTCGATCAGTGTCTGACGACTGTGCCTCTGTCGCGCATCCTCAAACGCATCCGGGGTTTCCTCCTGGTCACCACGGCGTGGAGCGTGTTTATCACGACCCTCTTCGCCGTCGCACCCAAGCTCTCCCTCTTCGCCCTCTCGTCATCCCTCCCACACTCACTCATGAGCGGCGCCATGGGCCTCCTACTCGTATTCAGGCACGCCATTCCCCC